ATAGAAATATTAGTGACATAGACAAGTGTGTTGTTAGAAGGAAAGAGAATAAGTGAGCACCTAGGATGAACTTGAAGGATGGGCAACATTTCAGAGAAACCGTTAGCCCTAAGCAGAAATTTAAAGGCAGAGAAAGGAAGGAGGCTTCCAGGAGGGACAGAAAAGAGAAAGCAACATCTCAAAATAAAGAAATTAATATTTAAGGAAAACAATACAGACTTTGGAGCCAGCAGGTTTGAATTTCAGTACCAGCTCTGCCTCTTGCCGGCTGTTTGAGCCTAGTCAAATCCCTTACCACGCCAGAATCCCAGAGGCCTCACTGTAACATGGCTGGACTTGGCCTTACAGCTGTTCCAGGGTTAAAAGAGAGAATGGACTGTGAAGGTGACATTTCTATAACATAGTCATGTATTTGAGTATCAAGATTGATTGGATTAATCTGGCTGGATCTTCTTCCTCTATCCCTGCCTCAAGCCACTCCTCCTAAAACTGCCTCCCACATCAGGGCAATTTTTACTCAGAGTCCTTGGAGTAGTTGTATAGGAAAACTGCTCTGGTCTAATAGAATTTCCAGTTATGTTAAAGCATAGTGTAAACGTCCAAGTCCTTAAAAAAATGAGTCATTATAGAAACAATCGAGATTGAAGAAAATCTTTGGGAAGGGCACAGTGAGTGGGAATTGTGAAAGAAATATGGTCTCTTTCATTTGGATTTCTTACCTCCTAGGCCTTCTTTTCCCAATCCAGTTTTCTCCCCAGAGATGCTTCACATTCTTTGTTCAGGCCTTTTCACTTCTCTTCCACGCAACACAACCTTCCTTTCTTTTACAGGTCACTTCCTCCTGGAAGACTTCCTGAAATGATTCCCAATTGTCCTTCAAGCTGTCAACAGAAACCTCACTCACTCTTCCCCCCTCACTGCCCCTTTAAATTTGGTAATGACAGATTTAGGTTGATGATAGATACACTTCATCTGCCTTATTACACACCCCAATTCAATAATGCTAAATTTTGTTGATGATGGATACACTTTACCTGGCTTATCACACTTCCTAAGGGCAGGAACCATGACTGTCCTGTGATCAGTCTCCCAAACTCCTCCTCATACTTATCTCTTCCTCTTGAAAGCTTCTAAAGATTTGTGGGGCTTTTAAAAGCATGAGGATGTTGCTAATTTGGAGGAGAGAAACTGAAGGATAAATAAAAGGATAGAAGGAAAAAAATGAAGAGAAGGAAAAGAAGGGATGGGTCAAGGCCTGTCCCACCTCTAACATTCCCTAGTGCCATGCATGGGTATCGAGCTGTCACACTCCACACCACCACAAGTAGGAGTCCTGGAAGGAGGTGGAAAGGGGTGGGAACAGTTATTTGGGAGGCACCTATGTTAAGGAAGGAAGAGGTGGATCCTAGCAGAGAGACAGGATCCTGTCATGGTCAACTGGAACAAGCCAAGCAAAGCCGACACACATAAAATCACATCCACCCTTCCGGCTCTCTGGAAATAGAATGAACTCAGGGGTGATTAGAGGATCAAGTGTAGAGTGGTTAGGGATTCTGGAAAGGGAGGGAGAAGGTCTTGAGAAGTGAGATGTTTCCAGGCAGAGTCTGTCTCCAAATGCCTTTTCCCTTACTGGCGTCCTGGAACCATTAGGCGTCCTGAACTCATTGTAACCAGGACGTAAAGGCTGAGCTGATGCTTTGTTAGCAGGAATCCTCACCATCTGGTTATGGAAGGTAAATGACAACTAGTCATGAGCTTCCTAGCCAGACTGAGCACCATATGTCTTATATCACATGAGTGTTTCCCAGCACCGTGCCTGGAATCTGCCAGTGAGGCATGACTATTGGTTGAGAAGGATAAGAAGGTCTAAGCAGAGTCAATCAAATGACCCTCTCAGATTGTAAATGAGCAATTCAACAGCTGGGCCTAAGACTCACTGTGTGCCAGGTGCTATTCTAGGTGCAGGGAAAGCAGCAGCAAACATAAAGGTTAGGTCCCTGTTCACTTACCTTCTATTGGACAGAGACAGATCAAAAGTTCATAAATAGATCATTGCAGACAGTAATAAATACCATGGAGATAATAAATATGGGTAAATATATAGTGAATGTCTTTGAGATAGACCACTTGAGATACAGATGGTAAAAGAAGTCCTCTCTGAATGTTACGTTTAGGTTGAGACATGAGTGAGAAAATGGAGAAAGCCATGTGAGGCTCTGGAGGAGCAGGGGCCCAAGTAGAGAGAAGAGCAAGTGCAAAGGCAGTACAGCTGCAGCAGCAGTGGCATGCTCAGAGAACAACAAATAGAAAGCACTGCAGCCAGGGCACAAGGAGCAAAATAGAGTGACAGGTCCACATGAACATCCACCGTTCAAGACCACGGTTCCCCTGTTAGCTAAACACTGGAACCATCTGGAAAGCTTTTAAAAGTACTGATACCTGGGACACATCTCCAGAGTGTCCGTTTAATTGGTCTGAGGTGTCACCTGGGCATCAGGAGTTTTAAAGTTTCCCAGATAATTCTAATGTGCAACTGAAGCTGTTAACCACTGACAAGCCCATGAGGGCCATGGCTAGGCACTTGGATTGATGACAATTGAGGTTCTTGAGGAGTCTCAGAGATATTCCTCCAGTACTTTAAGCCCAGATGCAAAAAGATCCTGAGAGGCCTTGGAGTTGGGGATAAACCAGGACAATGAAGGAAAAGAGATAACAGAAGACTGAAAAAAAGGTCAAGAGAGGCAGAGACATCCAGAAAATATGACAAATTGGAAGGTACAACAACACAGAAGTACAAATAGACTCAGAGAGCCAGAGACTGGAGGAGAAAAGGCAATCTTGTGTATTAGTTTCCTATTGATACTGTAAAAAATTACCACAAACTTAGGGGCTTGAAACAATACACATTTGTTACTTTATTATTCTGTAGTTTAGAGTCTGAAATGAGTCTTACCAGGCAAAAATCAAGGTGTCCGCAATGCTTGGTTCCTTCTGAACGGTCTGCTAGAGAATCCATTCCCTCGTCTTTTGCAGCTTCCAGAGGTCACTCACTTCCTTAGCTTGTGACTTCCTGCCTCAGTCTCCAAAGCCAGCAATGTCAGGCGATCATCTCTCTATGCTACCTATCATAGCATAGAAGTGCATCTTTTACAAAATAGATTGCAGTCACAACTGTAGTCTTATGCTTGGATTTCTGTGTGTTTTATGAGCACTGAGCTGGGAGGGTTGTTCCAAGATGAATGTACGTGTGTTTGTTTGTGTAGGTTTATCAGGGTGTCATATTTGAGTGTCTCCCTGATAAGTATGGGGGAGGGGGAAGAAGGGTGCCTGGAGGGGGTGCCTAATAAAGTCCTGCTGCTCCATAAAGACTTACTGCTGTTATACTCTTGTTCTTATTCATAATAAAACTAATGATAGAGTATCTGTCTCTTTGCCTGTTTTCTTTGAGCATGTCCATCTGTTCCTAAATAATACTGAACATTTATCCCAGTGATATTCAATGTTTATGAGGCTATTCATACACATTATATTTAGCTGTGATGTTTGTATTGTGAATGCTTCTGTCTGCAATTTGGGCATCTGGACATTGATGGATGCAGACACATGTTATATAACAGTGTGAGTGATCATAGTTGTAGACAGCTGAATGTTTACTTATGTGCACACCCCCATGAGTATCCAGTCAGTTAGGCCTGGCATTGGAAGGGTAGAGAAGCTAGGAAGAGGAGGGAGCAGGGAGGAAGAAGAGAGGTTGGGAGAGGAGCAGGTAAGGAGAAAGAGAGATGAAGGTGAGGAATGAAGGCACAAAGGAACACCAGAAAAAAATCAGGAAGCAGGAGGGGTCCCAGGGATCTGTAACTGAAAAAGGCAGGGTTGAGTCACAGCAAGAACACAAGTCAGAAGACCAGGGTAGGGCTCCACTTCTGGTCATTCCCTTGCTATGTGACCTTGGCTATTCCAACTCTCTGGGCCTCTGTGAACTACCAGAGTTGAAATAGATAATACCGGGTACATTCCAAAGAAGGAAGGAAAGAGAGAACTGGAAATAAAAACACACAGGGAAAAACAGAGAGAAAGAACCAGAAAGAGAGACTCACGAAGAAATTAAGGAGAGGCCCTGGGAGCTGGCCAGAGGTAGAGTTGCGAGAGCTCTGCCCCGACTCCCTGAGGCCGGAGTGTGGGTGCCTGTTCCCCACCCCTTACTCCAGAACTTCAGAGTGCCCTTAAGCCCTTAATAGGTAAGGAAGGAAGATGGAAAGGCGAGAGGCACCGGGAATGAAAACCACACATCAACACTCAAGAGGCTTGCCAAAGCCACACAAACCAGGATCTCTACTTCCGGCCCCCAGCCCCCAGATGTAGGTGTGCCAGCCACCTGGAATGAATCACACCTTGGCAATGTGGGCGCACATGCCAAGAGTGAGTCTGGGCACCCGGCCCATGCGCGTACCACAGGCCAAGGGGAAGGTAAAATTGGGGCTCTTCGGGGGTTCACAGAAGGCTACCCTCCCCACACAGGGTTATCCCGCTCCAGACCGCCCTCTAGTGACCACCTCCTAGGCTCGGGGACCCAGGTGTGCTATTCTCCCCTCCCTGCTCCCCCAAACCTTACCCGGGAAGCGGGAGAACCAGATGAGGCATTACGCAAGGCCTGGTGTTTACCTCCCGTGGGAGCCTCCTCCCTCCCTATAAAGCCTGATGTCGTGGAGAGATTTGCCGAGACTAAGACTCTGGTTGAAGACAGAGGCAATCCCAGGAGAGGGGCGGAAAGCGGCAAAAGTTAATGCGGGAGTCGGAGAGAAGGGCATCTACACAGCAAGCAGCA